GCTGCTGTTGCCTGTATACCTCTTTGGGCTGTGCTACTTTGATCTCACACTGTAAAGACAGAAATTCTTTAACTCACTGAGAATTTCAAGACGATTTTGTGAGCTGCTTTCAGGGAAGCCTACAGAGATGATTTTTTTCACATGCTAAGAACAAGATCTTCCATACCTTGCCTGAACCAATTTGATGGTATCTGCTTTCTAGTAACTTCTTTACTGGCTCTTCATCTGTGTATGTGATAAAACAAAAGCCCCTCCTTTCATTTGTCTTTGTGTCCATGGGAAGCTCAATGTTTTCAATCTGAAATCAAAAGTACCTATCAGCAATGCATGAAATCTGTAAGCAACTTCTCATGCTACCAGAACCACTCAGCAGTCCAATGTCTACGCCGACAGCTTTTGACAGCTACAAATCAGCCCATCACAACACTATGACATCATTAACATGCATATAGTTTTAACAATCCCTACCTACTTTTACGTAAGCCTGAGCCAGCTCTCTCCTCACAAATTCCTCTGTCTTAAGATAGAGGCAACACCGCACTTGAAAACCAGAGCTGTTCTTATATGCCATTATACTATACCTCGCCAAAAGCACCAAAGTACTCCTTGATCTGTTCTTCAGATGTATCTGGACTCAGGCCACCAACAAACACTTTTTTCGGTGGCTCCTTCCCTTTTAGGGCTTTTGCCCTTTTAGGATCTATTAACTTCCCATCCAGTTTGTGTTCCTTCAGTTCCAACACCTAAGAAATACACAAAGAAACAAAGTCTCAGATCACTACAGTGACACAGGCAAGCTTTGTACCGTCAGTCCACAAGGAATCCACTCACCTTCTCCACACTGGCGGCGTCCTTGAAGAGCACAAACCCAAACCCTCTCGACCTCCCCGTTACTGGGTCTGTTTTAATCGTACAGTCCACAACCTCACCAAACCGAGACAAATACTCTGTCAAGTCTTTCTTGCTGGTGTCCCAGCTGAGGCCTCCAATAAACATTTTTCTGAAATGCAAAAAGTACATACGAATACGTGTAAATACACGTGCATACAAGCACACAGCTGGGCGCAAATGCACGCGTGGAGCACGGAACAAGCCGGTAGAT